GCTTCCCGAATGCCGTCGCTGCCTTCGAGACGCGGATACGCAGCTCACTGTGTAGCTGCTGGTCAGTCGACATCACACTCCCAAGGTAGCAGAAGCGGGAGGTGGTTTCCAATACTTCAGCACCAATGTTGATTCGCGGCAATATTGAAGATTGCGCCTCCGCTGAAGACTGAAAGAGACAGACAGTATTGCTTGTGTTGATGGTAAGCCTGAATTTGGCCGCTGTCGTAGTCAGAGCACTAGTTATGTGCTGCAACTTATCCGCGCTGTGTGCAAACAACGTACAGTCGTCAGCAAACAGCAAAATACGGATGGTTGTCTCACAGACTAGAGTTCTCGCACCGAAACGACGGATGTTCAGCAACCCACCATCAATAGGGTGCTCCACACGAACATTGTAAGCACAAGCCGCAGCAAAAGCACGAGAAATCATTACATGAAGCTAACTATTAAACAGGGAATGAGCTAAGACAACCGCAAAGTCATCCAAGGTATGATTTCAGAATGTTTTGAATACAAATCGGTTTTGGTAGGGTTTATAGTGGCAACGTTTCGCCCTTGACATAAGAGCTTCTTCAGGCCAGCTCTTGTGTCAAGGGCGAAACGTTGCCACAATAAAACCCTACCAAAACCGATTTGTATGCAAAACCTTCTGAAATCATGAAATCACAGTCGGTTCCAAACATATTCCAATATATTGAATCATCCAAGGTATATCCACTCCGCTGCACCCTCGCCCGCATACCACTGTGTAGACATTCAATGAAACTTACAAACTTACGCAGGCAACCAAACTTACCCAACGCCAGTCATAATGCCTCGGGTTTCATAGTATGAAATGCTTTGGTGAAATCAACAAAATCGAGTATAACGGCTGGTGCCGTTTTCTGCACTTCTCATGCAACTGACGAGCCGCAGACACCATATCTATAAGGCTGCGACCCCAGCGGAATACACATTACTCTTCCGCCACTTTAGGTTCCACAACCTGACTGACGAGGCGCTTGAGCAGGATTCGGGCAATCACCCTGCCCACACAACTCAGCAAGTTGATGCCACGATAATTCGTGCAATATTGCTTGCTCTTTCTGCCCCCGTACAGAAGTAGCACAAAAGCATCCTTCAGCTCAGGAGGCACCTCCTCCTTAATCCATATACGTCGCACCAAGTGGTGCAGCTCATTCAACAACGTGGGTGCGCCGTGTTTCAATACTTCAGGCGCGATCCCGTCGGCGCCGCCATACTTGCCGTTTCGCAGCTGAGCAAGCGCTCTCTGTCTCATCCAGCGTCGGCTTGTCCGCCAGACTCGTCTTCACATCGTGCTGCTTCAGGCCGTTCAAAGTAGGCTAGTCGATCTCTGAACGGTTGTTCAAGAGACGGTCAATGTTTTTACTAGCTCTGCATTATGTCCGCAGACTATGTGCAGTCAGCGCCTAAAATACCATCGATCAACGTCCTCAGCGGCTCCAATCTCGGTCCGTACACCGCCAACAAGGAGTATAAGAATTCCTTGTGTTGGCGACGTTCGGCGTAGCATTCCATCTAATTCGCCTTCTCCGTCCTCTATGCGACGGAGCTTCCGGGTCAGTCGCCTTCGAAATTTGCGAAACTGACTATTCTTCCCCAAGTCACTGGAGTCTGCCACGTGTGCACCAATTGCTGCATTCTTCTCCGACACCAATGCGCCAATCGTCGCAATGTTCTCATCAAACCAATCAGGCCGTTTACAGTTTGCGCGCCGATTGTCTCCTGGACAGCAGGTACCACCTGGTCGCGAATGTGGTGCCACAGGTCGCCCACTGTGGCTATGCAGTCCACATCACACAGTCGTGCAGTCATCGCCTTCTAGAGCTCAATACGCTTTTCCACAGCACGGAAGGAGAGAATTTTAAATTTACCCCGATTCATGGCGGGAGTGCAATGCATAGATTTACGAAAACATATGTACAATTCGGTCCGCACCAATATGTGATCAGTGCTACACAGCTCCACGCAGTACACGTGTCATGCGCAGTGCACGCATATCACGCTGACGTATAGCGACATAGTCGAACATGTGAGCGTGACCACTCCATGGGTGCGTCCAAGTTGCCACATCAATCGCAATCAGTGCAAACCGAGTGTTGGTGGTCGTCAGGCCGTGAGTGGCACACAGTGAGATCAGCCTGTCAACGTTCACATTGGCTGAACCAATGCCATGCGTACCGATAACATCTGTCCACACCGATGCATCCCGCCCAACGCGCGCGTTAAAATCACCCAGCAGAAATAGTCAGTCGCTCCACGGCACAGACCGTATTACGGAGGATAACTGAGTGTAGAACTGAGCATGTATGTCATCTGGATAACACATGGTCGGACCGTACGTGCTTATAAAAGTGGCAAACTTACCTCTTCCGGGTCGTGGGCGAACGGTCATCATTTGCGCGCTGATGCCTGTTGTTTCACCCACCAGGTGGCCATGGAAACGATCGGACATCGCAAATACGACCCCATGACCACGTGGTGCTGAGGAGGCGTTACCAAAGCAGTAAAATGTGTAGCCAGTACCTGCTTCATGCCACTTACCTTGCTCAGCGAGCCGGGTTTCACTGAGCGCCGCAATATCGATGTTGTAGCCCGCCGGTTCCATCGTGACCAGTGCAGTGCGTCACTCGTGGCGCTCACTCGAGTTCCGGTCTAGTAGTGTGCGCACGTTCCAGCGCCCGATGCTGAGTGATTTGAGCGCAGTCATACGATTGCATTGGCGGGCAATCGCACGCGACGTGGTGATTGTGCTTCGGAGGTTTGCTTGAGGGACTCCACCCGGAGTCTTTGGCTCAATAGCCTGACCCACAAGGCAGTGGGGAGCAGATCCAGCTCAGGAATGTCATTGCAGAGACAGACTAGGATCTGGTTGAGATCCGTCACACGCAGTCTGTGAGGTACTGGAACGATTCATATAGGTTTTGTGAGCATAATAGAATATACCTGCGACCACGGTCAGACGCAGGTGGATTTCGGCATGTTTATACCAATTTGACTAGGGGTTGCCTGGCTTGAGGCGGGCAGTAGCAAACCACTGAACACCCGGAGGGGCCCTCCCACCGTCAGAGACAATGCGTGGCGCTCGTGCTCTATGCCAATCGAGCTGTGAGCTTACAACCCGTAGGTTTTGCGGGAAGAATGTCATCGACCACTTCCTAACCTTAGAAAAAGATGGACTAGGATACTAGCATGGCACCCCGCCTCACAAGAGAACGACTCGCGTCCTCAGCCAAAGCCTTCGATTAAATGTACACCCGAAAGGCAGCGGGTCTAGCACATGGTCAGTTCACTGACATGCGGATTGGTGTCCTGGATCTTAGCAGGGAGAAGTGCGTAACCCAACTCCAATCCAGTGGTGGCCACGAGGTGGCGTCCAGGACATGAGCCAATGGCACAACAGTCGCAGCAGTGGGTAGATCATTTCACGGGATCTAGCCACCACCAGCTTCAGCGCACCATAGGCTCTCCCGCCATATATATATATATATATATATATATATATATATATATATATATATATATATATATATATATATATATATATATATAGCTTTACAGTCTTTTCCCAAAGGCTCCACCTATTTCATTAACAGAAAGACAAGCAGTAACACTGCGCTAAACCTCTATTCGATAAGATAATTAGTCGGCCGGAATACTTCAGATGTGCGAACAGTACTAGCGTTGAAGACGCAACGTGGTGTAGATGAGTCATTGATTAAGGAAGCCACATCTAGATACTGTACTTAGAAACGGTCCATTTGCGTACTTCCTTTGTAAATTATACATCTTAAACAATGCAGTGAGAAGACAAAAGCCGGCCGATTTTAACATTTCGTATTGTTTACAGAGGAGTAGTAGGGGGAGTTGAATGGCATAGGTAGAAATTCATCACATCTAGACACACTCAGACAGCCGTCACACTCCCGGAAAAACACTTTACGCGCGTTTCATCCTTTCGGGAACCGATAGCCTCGCCGTCCCCCGCTCAGTGGTCTCAACCACGGACTGGCAATAGTCGAGTTACGGGTTCGAGCCCTACCATGGTCCGATGGAATGCGCACTGCTATCGGTTCCCGAAAGGATGAAACGCGCGTAGTGCTTTTCCGGGCGTGTGACGGCTCTCTGCGTGAGTCTAGATGTGACGAATTTCTACCTATACCATTCAACTCCCCCTACTGCTCCTCTGTAATCAGTACTCAGACCAAACCGCTTATAATGCCATAAGTTAATTGGTGGCTTAAGTTTGGTAAGCCCGTCGCTTGGTGAAGGGGATACCTTGTCCTCTGAACGGCAGTAACGTGTAAGTCAGTGGATAGTGAGTGGCGCTATATCACATCTAGTAACTAATACACGATGGTCGTTGTCGTCCCCCCGTAGCTCAGTGGTCTCAACCACGGACTGGCAATAGTCGAGTTACGGGTTCGAGCCCTACCAGGGTCCGATGGAATGCGCACTGCTGACGATTCCTGAAAGGATGAAACACGCGTACAGTGCTTTTCCGGGCGTATGAAAGCTGTCTGAGTGAGTCTAGATGTGACGGATTTCGTCTTGTCTCATCAGTGCCAATACAATAACAGGAATATGTATATATCTACAGCTAAGGTTTGACCGGAAATATAGACAGGGTGGGTACATATGTACCACCCTTACGTCCATGGGAGCCTTAAGCTGTAGATGCGTATATTTTCCTGTTATTGTATTGGCACTAACGAGACAATACGAAATTTTAACATATGCCAGCTTTCGTTGCAAGCTTGCACGCTACATATCACTGCAATGAGGATGCCACCTCGCATGGTGGTGAAACGTTTGCGAGTAAATCGCCAAGGTCGGAGAACAAATGAACAATTGATTGTTTAATGTTCTCGTACCACACTAGCCCTCCCTACGGCCTCCTGACCAATTATGGATGCATGGTAGCGAATCACCAGTACGAATGTGCTGTCACTCCGACTAATGATGACAACTGCGCAATACATTACTTTCCCACCCTGGCTGGTCACGGATTTAACAAAAGTAAGAGAATTTGGAGTGGAACAGAAAATGAGAACGACGCCAATCGTCTGAATAGACGATGGCACACCTTTGACTCGGTTGGTATCATAGTCTATGCAGCTGGTGTGTAGTCGCGGTTGAAAGCTGAACGCATGTATGAAGTGTACAAAATCGTGTAAAATAGTAAAAAGCGAATTATCACAGCACGTGGAACAGGTTACCTCAGACAATACAGTCCGATGCGTGTATCACGTTTCTAATCAACTGGGACAATCATTTGACCGGAGAAAGTGTATCGACGGTGAAACGGTGGATAGGGACAGGTTAATAAGGGGGGCTGAATAGAATCCAAATCATCAAATATAGTGAACGGCGCCGTGTGATTAGAGTGTGTATCTTGATGTGATTTTGTCATGACGCTGAAAAGCATATCTTTGAGATCCGCCCAAGGTTCAGTGACATCTGGTGCAGGGTGGTCTGTGTGCGAGACAAATGAACTTGAGGTGACAATGGTAGAGTCTACAGAGAGCTGTTGTGCTTGGGCGGAATCAATTAGACCGAGAAGATCTGTCAAGGGCGACATATGCTCCTCGTGCGATATCAATGCTTCAATATCTTCTGCCGGAATGAGTTGGTCTGATGAATCCGAAGGGGGGAAATGACCCCCGGTCACTTTTTCAAGTGTATTCGCAACGTGACAACAGTGTATTGAACCTGGGTCTATCGGATGGGCTTCGGTGTTGAAAATGTAACCACCTAGTTCCGGAGAGCAAACACCACCGGAAGGTGATAGATAATGGTGTGATAGATGGCCGTCACCGGGTAGCTCGTTGAGAAAGTTCTCCTCGTCGAAGAGAAGATATAAGTACTTTGTGGTCTCCGACAAAAAGAAAGATTCCATACGATTGGCAAGTTTATGTGATGCGACGTCCAGCACCTGTGTTTAAAAAGAAGCACTATTACTGAGAAAATGCTCTGACGATGGTCGAGGCAACATAAGAAAACGTAAATTAAAAGGGTATTGTTAACCCATTATCTACCAATGTTCCCCCATATATAGGACGGAAGTTCTTTTATCGGAAGTCGTCCCACTGTCACATTTGGAGGACATGCTATAACTACATATATACGCACACATGCAAACAGTGCAAAATATTCTTTTGTCTTCCGAAGAACCCAATCAACACACCTTTTACAAGAACACAAGCACAAAAGAACAACTTTGGAGATAACAAGTTAATGAACATAACGCAGGAGCTGCATACTAAATATGAAGTGGCCATCAGCAGGGCTAGACAACAGAACCAAGTCAGTAGGCAGTGTCGGTGGCGCAGTCTAAAATTGCTTCCACAGGTGGAGAGATGTGCGTTGGTTTTAGGCATTGAATGCGCACAAAGGTAGTCCTAAGCCAACCAGTTGAAATGCCACGGTAATCGAAGTGTAGTGTTAAAACGGGGTCCAAATTACTGGGCTACACCATTTGATGGTCACAAATCCGGAAAAGCATCATGTGTTTCATGGGTCGCATTGAGGCTTATCAGCAGGTCGTGAAACCCGTGACCCGACCACCCTTACGAGGCAGATTTTGTCGTCGGTGCTTGCGCGTCTAAAGTCCGCGGCGCAGCGATGGACTGACATTATGGATCCCCACTTTCGTCACAGATCAATTTCGAACATTCTGATAGTTTTCAGTTTGCGTGTAGAGGATCGGCATAACACAAACGGTCTTTGAGATGTGTCCACAATACCCTGCTCGACCATTCAGAGTATTCCTCGTCTACAAATTAGTAAAAATAAAGTAGCAAATAGGCTAAAAGTACAATCCCACTATCTTGTAATGACTATGCCTTATCGCTGTATGTATGTAATCTCAACAGTCTAGTAACTAGACATAGAGCCAAGAAAACCATGGAAATCAGTGTATAAGAGACAGTCATTGCGTCATAATCGTCATGGCATGCTAGCTGAAGGTGGGCAACACACTTCAGCTAATATGCCGCAAGAAAATGGAATATTTTGACAAAAATACAGAACAAAACATTTTTAGTTTGTTTGTCACACGCCGGTTTTCTCTTTTTTTGTCATTTTCAATTTTTGTAGAATTAAACATGTGAATCAACACAACACTGTACACAATTCTTCCATTGATTCCGGTTGCGGGCCATGTCTTCAAGTGTCCTAAGCCATTGGCACTCGCCATCTTTGGGTCCCCATCCTGGAAGACGTACGGGTCCAACAGCGGCTAGACACGACGTCAGCGATTTCATGTGCTGCCGCCAAGTGGAAGGCTGACCACCACGCGGTCGCTTCCAGCCAGGTCCTTGACGAGCGAATAGAGCGCGACGCGGTAGACGCTCAGGTGCCATGCGTAGGACATGACCGAGCCATCTTAACTGGCGCAACAAAACCAGTTTGTTGAAGGAAATACTTGCATTCCCCAAGACGCGACGTCGAACGTCATTACTGGTAACTCGATGTTGCCACCGAACACGAGCGATCCTCCTTAAGCAACCGTTATCGAACGCAGAAAGACGACGCATGTCTTCCACGCGAATCGGCCAGGACTCGCTCCAGTACAACAATACTGAGCGAACGGACGCGCTGTAAACTCGGCCCTTTAGTGAGAATGAGACGTCGCGACGACGCCACAAGTGCCTCAGATTGACAAATGCTGATCGAGCTTTAGCGATACGAAGCGAAACTTCTTTGTTGATTGTGCCGTCAGCGGAAACACAGCTCCCAAGGTAGACGAAACTATCTACCTGTTCAAGTTGTGCACCTTGCGAGAGTGAGCACGGGTGCAGGTGAAAGCCAATCCTTGAGCAGTACTTTACACTTCGATGGGGCGAAGCTCATGCCATACTTAGATGCTTCAACCGCCAAACGATCCAGAATGAGTTGCATACCCTGAGGATCGTCACCAAGTAAGGCGATATCATCAGCATAATCTAAGTCGGTCGCGCGCTCACCCGGTAGAAGCTCTAGGCCAAAATGTTGGAAACCTTCTAGGGCATTCGACAGAACGTCTTCGATTGCGAAGTTGAAGAGGAATGGGGACATAGGGCAGCCCTGTCGCACACCTGCTATTGACAGTGAATTGCGAGGTAAGCTTGCCATAGACCCTCACTCTGCTGGATATATGAAGGTAAAGTGCTCGTAAGATGGCGATATATTTCTCTGGCACCCCGTTCTTTAGTAAGCAACGCCATAAAGCAGGTCGATCAACGGAGTCAAAAGCGGCACGTATGTCTAGGAATGCAACGATAGTGGGCCTGTGATAAATGTGGCGATGTTCAAGGAGTTGGCGGAGCGTGAAGATTTGATCCACGCATCCGCGGCCAGGACGGAAACCAGCTTGTTCTTCACGGTAATACGATTCACGTACTGGGGATAGTCTACGAAGTAAGATGGATGCCAACAGCTTAGAGGCAACCGAAATAAGACTAATCCCGCGATGATTTGCACATGAAGTGCGAGCGCCTTTCTTGAAAATTGGGACAATAACTGATTCGCCCCAAGAGGGAGGCACTCTCTCTTCATGCCAAATTTTTGCGAACAGCGCGGTCAGCTGGTTAATGACTGCCACACCGCCATACTTGAATAGCTCCGGAGGAAGTCCGTCTAAGCCGGCAGCCTTGAAGCGCTTCAAGCGTCGAATCTCGAGGCAGACTTCCGCTTCGCTGGGTGGATTCAATGGGACTAGCAAAGGTGGACCGCAAGGTGTACTGCATTGTACTGATGGATGGTGGAGGCCAGTTGAACTGCGAGTGAAAGTGCTCGGCCCAGCGGTCCATACGCCTCTGTTGGTTGGTGATCGGAGACTCATCCACCTCACAAATGACCTCACTGACACCAGGCTTCCTGAGGCAGTGGACCGAATGGGTTGGAAAAGCCTGCGAGTGTTACCAGAGAGGGCAGCAGTCTCCATCTCTAAAGCACGCTCAGACCACCATGTCTCGCGATCCTTGCGGAGGCTTTGCTTAAGCAGCCGGTTGGTAGAACGGCGCCGCTCGTTGCAATCTGATTCCGCGGAGATATCTTTGCGGCGTTCGAAGAGCTCCAGAGAACGAGCAGAGATCCAAGACTTCAAAGGGCGTCGAGTTAGACCGCAGTATGACTGTCCGGAAATGGTCAGCGCTTTCCGTATACAAGTCCAGTGTTGTTCCACTTCTCGCGGTGGATTGCAACTGAGTGCATATGCCAGTGAAGACTGATAGCTCTCCTGGACAGAGGAATCAGTTAATCTGTTTACATCACTCTTGCGGTGCTTCGTGTTTCGGGATCCTCCAAAACACATACAGATTTTCGCGCAGACCAGAGCATGATCTGAATCAACGAAAGTGGACCAAAAGGACCTGCAGTCCAGTACGCTGCTGCGCCATCTGAAGCTAATCGGCAATGTGATCAATTTGAGAACAAGGTTGTGTTGGCGAAGGGGGACGCCATGTTGCGGAACGCTTCTTCATACGCCTGAAGCTAGTGCTCGAAAGAAACAGACGGTTGTCCTCGCACAATGTGAGAAGTCTCTCTCCGTTATCAGAGCAGTTCTCATCGAGCGCGTGATGACCACCAAGGTGGCGTTCGTATGGTAACAGGCGGCCAACCCGTGCATTAAAATCCCCAGCAAGGATAACAACATCCGACTTTTTAGCATTAGTCAAGAGCTGTTGTATATCTCGGTAGAAATCGTCCTTGACCGAGTCGCTACTGCAGTCAGTTGGAGCGTATACAGAGGTCACAAACAAGTTGCGGCTCTCTTTGCGTTGCCTGTTGATTATTCATGAACCCCGAAGCCGAACTGCACATAGTCGGCTGTTAATCGGGAACCAGTCCAATAGTGTCGCCTCGGCCTTTCCACTTAGTGCTATACCTACACCAGCCAAACCCGCTGAGGCTGCTTCTGGATCTCCAGAAAGACGCAGGTGATATCTGGCTTCGTGGTCAGTGGTGATGTCAATGTAAGCACAGTGTTGGGGATCTTGCAATCGGGTTTCTGAAAGACAGCAGACATCAATGTCTAGGGAATCTAGGGTGCGCGCTAGACCGGCTTGCTGTCCAATCTGCATGAGTGTCCGGACGTTGATGCACGCCAGACGGAACGAGGATTGGGGACGAAGGAGAGCCATAGGTTGAATTCCTTGATCTGCGGAGCAACCGGAATCGCAGCCAGATTGTTGAACAGATGAATCGGGTAACCGAAAAGTGAGGATTGTTAGCAAACAAACAATTGGCGTGTGATGGAGTAGCATGAAAGTGAGTAGCAGGAACAGTAGCTGATGAGCGCGTTGTAGTACAGTCCATGGTTTTGTGGAGAGGGCGTGATACTACCCGGTTGCCCAAGCCGAAGTAGGGAATTGACTTAAGGGACTACACCCCGAGCCTTTGGCTAAATAAACCTACCCGCAAGGCAGCGGGGCGAATTTAGGGAATCGCGCCCATTGGGAGGCGTTGACTGAATGATCAGCTCATGCGCCTTTGTTTGGTAGATTACCAAACAGGGGCCCAATACTCCCCATGAAGTCAGCACAATTGCTGGAATACAATGCCCCACGGAGGTGGAACATTGTCGCCGAACACTTTGCTGGAACGGGGTACACCCGAACCACAGAACCACAGAACAAAACATTTTTAGTTTGTTTGTCACACGCCGGTTTTTCTCTTTTTTGTCATTTTCAATTTTTGTAGAATTAAACATGTGAATCAACACAACACTGTACACAATTCTTCCATTGATTCCGGTTGCGGGCCATGTCTTCAAGTGTCCTAAGCCATTGGCACTCGCCATCTTTGGGTCCCCATCCTGGAAGACGTACGGGTCCAACAGCGGCTAGACACGACGTCAGCGATTTCATGTGCTGCCGCAAAGTGGAAGGCTGACCACCACGCGGTCGCTTCCAGCCAGGTCCTTGACGAGCGAATAGAGCGCGACGCGGTAGA